ATCTATAATCCAATCTATCTCAATCGTCTCCCTCAACACGCTATCGGTAAAGAGGGATCAAACTCTTAACAACGTGATCCCCCTCCCAGAGTCCTCTATACACTTCCCTTAAGAGACAAATGAGCATCGTAGGATAGGATTATAGACGACTAAAACGGAAGGTCGGTATGACGGATGAGGGAGAAGGTAGCTTACGTTGTTGATATGAAGAGGATTTTTTATTGAAGGAGCTTTAGTTGTTTATATATAGTACAATAGACTTAGACTCTGGTCATTATGGTAAATGGAGAGATGGTGGAATTGGTCATCGTTTTCAAAGATATGTCATCGTACTCAAGGGGTTGGTAACGTGCACAAGGGGGTTGATATCGTACATAAGGGATTAAGATATTGTACTCAAGAGCTCAAGTCATCGTACTCAAAGGGTTGGTATCGTGCTCAAGGGAATAAAGCATAAAGATAACAGAGAAAGGGAAATAACAGAACAGGAAGACTGATGAAAGAGAATCAAGAAACCCAAAATAAAGAAGAATAAGGAAGATGAAATAGAAGAGGAGGCGAAGTGATGAAAGAGAATAAAGGAATAATTAGATGATGGAGAGTAAAGAAAAAAAACTGCTGACAAGGACAAAGAGAAGCATAAAATAAGAATAAAAGAATCAAAGAAACAGTGAATAGTGTAATAGAGGAGAAAATATCCAAAAAGTAAAGAACGAAGAAGGAAAAGTAGAAGAGAAGAAATAGCGAGACAGAATAATGACGAGGAAGAAGAAAAACAAGAACAAAGAGAACAACAAGAACAAGAAAATGAAAAAAAAAAAAAGTAAATCAGAACAGGTAAGAACAAGACATAAGGACTCTCTGACCTGAGGCTGTGGGTGATGATGGTAGTCGTAGACGGGGACGTAGGTGACTTTCTGAGGCTGGAAGGGCAGGGAGGAACCACCACCACTACTACCACCACTAACACCACCTCCTTCAATCAACATGTCATCCCGGTAGTAAGGAGAGTCACCAGCCCCGACGTTAGCATCCAACATCACCACATGCTGAGGTGGCTTCTGTTGATGCTGTTCCGGGTAGTGGTAGTGCTGTGACTGCTGTTGTGGCTGTGACTGCTGCTGCTGTTGAGGTTGATACAGCTGCTGCTCCTGTTTTCCCTGTCCTTGAACTATGCGTCCGTTTCCTATAAGAGGCGTGGTGGAGTCGTGCGAGTGGGTCATCAAGGCCGACTCTGAGGGGAGAGGAAGAGGTGCTGCAGCCTGTGAGATGGTCATGTTGGTGTTCATGGATTGAGAGAGCCAGTTACCTAAATCTAAATTACTTCCAGCACTTCAAAGTCGACCACCACATTTTCATTTCCTTTTTTACATAATTTCAAAGCATTCCATCTCTAAAGGCTGTGCCCTAATTCCTGTGTCCTCCTTGCCCCCCCCCTCGGTGTCCTATCCTTCAAGTCTTTCCCTCATGTATCCCATTCTAGGTGTTTCACCCATGTGTCTGGTCTTCTCCCATGTGCCTTAACCATTTTTCCTCTCTATGTATCTTACATCTGTTTTCTGTCCTCATATGCCTCAACCTGTTCCAATGTGTCACACCTGTGTATCCACCCCATGTGTCCTACCCCATGTCTTACCCATTGTCCTACCCCATGTTTTACCCATGTGTCCTACCCATGTCTTACCCCATTGTCCTACCCCATGTCTTACCACATTGTCCCTGCCCCCATGTCTTACCCCATTGTCCTACATGTCTTACCCCATGTGTCCTCCCCATTTTACCCCCATATGTCCCTACCCCCCCTTACCCCATTATCCTACCCCATGTTTTACCACATTGTCCCCCCCATGTCTTACCCCATTGTCCTACCCCCATGTCTTACCCCATTGTCCTACCCCCATGTCTTACCCCATTGTCCTATCCCATGTCTTACCCCATTGTCCTACCCCATGTTTTACCCCATTGTCCTACCCCATGTTTTACCCCTGTGTCCCTACCCCCATCTTACCCCATGTGTGTCCTACCCCCATGTCTTACCCCATTCCTACCCCATGTTTTACCCCATGTGTCCCTACCCCCATGTCTTACCCCATTGTCCTACCCCAATGTCTTACCCCATGTCCTACCCCATGTTTTTACCCCCATGTGTCCTACCCCAATGTCTTACCCCATGTCCCTACCCCCATGTCTTACCCCATGTCTTACCCCCATGTTTACCCCATGTGTCCTACCCAATGTCTTACCCCATGTGTCCTACCCCATGTTTTACCCCATGTGTCCTACCCCAATGTCTTCCCCATGTGTCCTACCCCCATGTCTTCATGTCCTACCATGTCTTACCCCATGTCTTACCCCCATGTCTTACCCATGTGTCCTACCCCATGTCTTACCCCATGTGTCCTACCCCCCATGTCTTACCCCATGTCTTACCCCATGTGTCCTCCCCCATGTCTTACCACATGTGTCCTACCCCCATGTCTTACCCCATGTGTCCTACCTCCATGTCTTACCCCCCATGTCTTACCCCATGTTCCTACCCCCATGTCTTACATGTCTCCACCCCCATGTCTTACCCCATATGTCCCTACCTCCATGTCTTCCCCATATGTCCTACCCCCATGTCTTACCCCATGTAATTACCCCATGTCTTGCCCATGTGTCCCTACCCCCATGTCTTACCCTGTGTCCTACCTCCATGTCTTGCCCCATGTCTTCCCCATTTGTCCCTACCCCATGTCTTCCCCATGTGTCCCTACCCCATGTCTTACCACATGTGTCCTGCCCCATGTCTTCCCCATGTGTCCTACCTCCATGTCTTACCCCCATGTCTTACCCATGTGTCCTGCCTCCATGTCTTACCCTGTGTCCCTACCCCATGTCTTACCCCATGTGTCCTACCTCCATGTCTTACCCCATGTGTCCCTACCTCCATGTCTTACCCCCATGTCTTACCCCATGTGTCTACCTCCATGTCTTACCCCATGTCCTCCCCCCATGTCTTACCCCATGTGTCCTACCTCCACATGTCTTCCCCCATGTGTCCCTACCTCCATGTCTTACCCCCATGTCTTACCCCATGTGTCTTACCTCCATGTCTTACCACATGTGTCCTACCCATGTCTTACCCCATGTGTCCTACCTCCATGTCTTACCCCATGTCCTACCTCCATGTCTTACCATGTCTTACCCCATGTGTCCCCTACCTCCATGTCTTACCCCATGTGTCCTACCCCATGTCTTACCCCATGTGTCCCACCCCCATGTCTTACCACATGTGTTTCTCCCCATGTCTTACCCCATGTGTCCTACCTCCATGTCTTACCCCCATGTCTTACCCCATTGTCCTACCCCCATGTCTTACCCCATGTGTCCCTGCCCCATGTCTTACCCCATGTGTCCCTGACCCCATGTCTTACCCCATTGTCCCTGCCCCAATGTCTTACCCCATGTGTCCCTCCCCCATGTCTTACCCCATGTGTCCTACCCCCATGTCTTACCCCCATTGTCCTACCCCAATGTCTTACCCCATGTGTCCTACCCCCATGTCTTACCCCATTGTCCCTACCCCATGTCTTACCACATGTGTCCCTACCCCAATGTCTTACCCCATGTGTCCTACCCCCATGTCTTACCCCATGTGGTCTCCCCCCCATGTCTTACCCCCATGTGTCCCTACCCCATGTCTTACCACATGTGTCCTACCCCATGTCTTACCCCATTGTCCTACCCCATGTTTTTACCCCATGTGTCCTACCCCCATGTTTTACCCCATTGTCCTACCCCAATGTCTTACCCCATGTGTCCCTACCCCATGTCTTACCCCATGTGTCCTACCCCATGTTTTACCCATTGTCCTACCCCATGTCTTACCCCATGTGTCCCTACCCCATGTCTTACCCCATTGTCCTACCCCATGTACCCCATGTGTCCTACCCCATGTCTTACCCATTGTCCTACCCCCATGTTATCCATGTGTCCTCTATGCCGGGCAGAGACCAGGTCGGGGCCGGGTGGCCGTGAGTCTCCGTGGTGTCGGTCAGGCCTGAATCTTGTCAGGTGTCGGACTTGCCGCAGAACTTGTGCCAACGTCCCCAGTGCTGCCCGCTCTCCCACAGGCTGCCGCATGGATCGCTTAGTCTATCACACCTCCACTACACCTCGCTCCTCCTACACTACACCTTGTTCCTCCACACTCTCACCTCTCCAGTACACTCGTCTTCAGTACTTCTGTGGTACTGTTACACCTGCTTCTACACCACTATACTTAACTTGTTTGTCGAGTGATTTTTTGCAAAACTTAATGTTAGGCTTGGATAGGTTAGGTTGAGGTTAATGTGGGGCCCATAGGCAGTGTGGATACAGTGCGCTAAATAATGACTTACTAATCCTTCGGTGCCTGGCCGGAACTGCACGACCCTTCACTGTAAAGTTAGGTCAAGCATGAACAACCTGGCCTAATCTAACCTAACCTAACCTAACTTCTTAACCCTAACCCCATTACAGGTGTGTGAGGGGCTGGTGGGTACTCACCTGTGGGCCTCGTGGGTTACGTCTCTTGCACTTGGCCACCACAAGGCGATGATCAGCAGCAGGACCACAGCAGATACCCCGATCACTGACCCGACGATAGGGCTTAAGGCTCCCCAGGCTTACCAGTACCCAGGGCTGTTGTTGTTTTAGTAGTTGTGGTAGTAGTGGTAGTAATTGTTGTTATTTTCGTTGCCGTAGTAGTAGTAGTTGTTTTTGTAGGAAGTAGTAGTAGTAAAGTAGTAATAGTGGTTGTTTTTCGTAATAGTAGTAATTTTTGTTTTTGTTGTTTTTGTTATTGTTTTTGTTGTTGTTATTGATTTGTTGTCGTTATAGTAGAGTAATAGTGATTGTTTTGTTTAATTGCAGTAGTAGTTGTTGATGTTGTTGTCGTTGTTTTATTGTCATAGTAGTAGTATTTGTAGTTAAAACAGCACCAACAATACCATCACCAATACCAACATCATCACCACCATCACCCACCATTATCACCACCATCACCATCACCATGAGCAACACCATCATCATTACCATCATCACCACCATCACCAACAGCAGCAGCAAGAGGGAAAAATATCATGTTAGTGATCATATAATACAAAAACAAATAAAATAAATTGATTAAATGATGTTAATATTAGCATACACAATGTTAAATCCACACAGTGTAAGTATATGAAGCATTGTCAAGGTAACGTAAGGTTAATATAGTTTGGAACTATCGTTATAGGGATCAAAATGTTAATAATAATAGTAATAAGAGCTATATCAGTAGAATTAGTAGTAGTAGTTTTTTAAGTACTAGTTCTGTCATCTGCATAGTACAAAGTACCTCCATCTATACACAAACCTCATATATATTACATCATAAATGCCATAAATCCCATCATTCCCTTATATGTATCACCAGCTAAAAAGTGGCTCGATACCCACGTAAAACAGGCTCCCAAGGTCTCTATAAACAGTCATTGATGTCCATTTACAACCTCCGACAGCCACGTAAACTTTAAATTCATTCACAGGCTGCTTGAGGCCATTCACTCACTCCGCACCAACGTAAGCAATCTCTATCAGTTTCCTCCACACTTTCCCGGCACTCACTAAGCACACCTTTTCAGTTCATTCACAGCTCCAGCACCTATACTAACAAACTTCTTGAGGTGCATTCACACGCTCTCCGTAAAACAAACTACGTCAGCTTCATTCACAGCCTCCAGGTCCTAAGGCGACAATCATGGGACTCCGACCCCATCACCTACATCCACAGGCACTTCGCCTGCAGATACCCTAAGGATGATCTCCTGGATGCTGGTAGGCTCACCTGTGCGTCTCTCGGCGACGTCTGTTAAAGTGAAGGCGGTAAGATATATGGTTGGGATCGGCCCATCGTTGACGGCGAACACCTTCAGCGTATATGCGGGTCCCGGGGCGCAGACCTGACCTGTGGGTAAACCAACACAAATAGGTATTTAAGGGTTCATTGTTATCAGTACAGGTGTTTACGTGGTTAATTAGGAGATACATTACATCTTAGAGGTTTAAATATGGGGTGCGTAAGTGTTTATGGGGTCTAGTATGGGTACGGGTATTCAAGGGTTCAATACAGGTATTCATAAGGCTGAAAATCTTAAAACCCTCAAACCGATGGATGAAAACAATGCCGTTTCTCCCTACAGTTCACATGTAATATCTCAGTGTAGCCATAAGGGGTTACCTGGCCTGAATTGGCAGGTGTTGACATAGGAGATGATTCACAGTAATCACTTAAATGTTCTTGTATGTGTTCATGTTGACACACATTAAACAATTTCCAACACCAACACGGATGTATTTTACTAAGTAATAATATGTATTGTGTTGACCCGTGAAATGTGCACATATAACAATGTGAATATATAATATATAATAATATATATAAATATAAATATATATATATATATATATATATATATATATATATATATATATATATATATATATATATGACTGTGTGTTTGCAATGTAATCATGTCTATGTATGTGTGCAGTGTTGAGTGTTGCAGCTGTTAATAATAATGGCACGGTAGAATGATCATGCAATTACAATTATGCCAAGATCTTCTCCAGATTAAACAACGGTTGTAATGGACACATCTGCAAATACTGAAACGAATCGTGCAACAATGTGGAACAAACGTGTAGTGAAGGTATACAAAGTGTGTGCACAGTGCAGATTAATGGTGATGCTCATGACACAGGCAGAACAACTGGGTCAACAATATAATTTAGCAGTGTTGGGATAATATATTGCACGACTGAGTAAGATTATTTGATCCCAGCACCACCGCCTCCTCCGTATTAATTTACCGCGGTTTTATGTAGAGATTATTTTAATGTACTGAGGAGATGTGCAGGCCAGTGGAGGAATGAGAGGTTGAGTAGGATTAGTTTTACCTGTTTCTTTCTTTCTTTCTTTTCTGTAGGTATCTTAATATAGTCAGGGAAAAGGGCAGCCACGAGGTTGATTAATAGTACCTCTCTCCTCTCTCTCATCTCTCTCTCTCTCTCTCTCTCTATCTCTCTCTCTCTCTCTCTCTCTCTCTCTCTCTCTCTCTCTCTCTCTCTCTCTCTCTCTCTCTCTCTCTCTCTCTCTCTCTCTCCCAACCCTCACACCCATCACTCTCACATACCCTCCCACCATCACCCCTTATCTTCACTTCCCTCACCCTAACATCACCTCATCCTCACAAGCCCTCACCCTCACCTCTCCTACCCTCATACTGCCTCACCCCACATCCCTCACCCTCCTCTCACTTCCTCCTCATTCCACTCACCCTCACCTTCCACACCCCTCCCAACCTCTCCCATGTATTCTCATTCTCATTAAATGTATGTTGATATTTTTTTCGCAATGAAAAGGAGAAGGAAAACAAATATGGTTAAGTAGAGTCTCAGTGGTATTGTGACGCCATTTTCTCCAGTAATAAAGGAGTT